AGAGACGAAACGTTTCATTAAAGAAGAACCCGTCCAGAAGACCTACACAATTTTTTTCTTTTTGATTTTTTACCTGGATTACTGAGATGCATCAGGACATTCCAAACTTTTGTTTCTACTCATCAGTGGATTAAACGTAATTTGTTCCCATCTTTTATGAATCCAGATAAATTGTCTTATCCAATATGAGCAGGTTGAGGGACTGGTGATGGATTGCTGCATGTTTTATGATCATTAACAATCGGCTCTGGTTTGTTGGGTAAATGATCAGAGACAACAGACTGTCAGGCAGCTGCTTATTCTTTGACAGGTTGTTGTTTTAACCAACGTGGCGTTGATGCAAACATGTTTCATTGTGATGTGGATCACAAGACGAGTTACCTTCCACAGTCCCCTCCAACGTCTGCATACGGGTTGGCGATGCACGTTCCGCCATCGTCCTCCTCCGTTTGTGCAACGCTCTGTTCTCCTTCCGTTTTCTCGCTCTCCTCCTTGTCCTCCTTCTCCTCCCTCTCATCAATGATCTTCCTCTCTTGGCTGAGTGAGCGTCTGACGTGCAGGACCTCRTGCGGCGACTGTGTGCAGTCCAGACTCTTGGCTTCGATGCGGGCCTCGCGGTGACGGTGGCGCCTGTGCCGGGCCCCTTCCTCCGGCCCCTGGCTGGGCCTGAACTTCCGAGCCATCCTGTGTCTGCCCCCACCTGCCGTCCGGTGGTTCGCGCCCGCTGGCTTCTCCTCACTCTTGTTGACAACAGGATCGGCTGCCGGGGGCTCGGGCATGGGAATGGAGATGGACATGGGGGGCTCAGGTAGGGGCATCCCAACCGACATGGGTGACTCAGGCAGGTGAGCCGGACTGGCCTCTGGGGTAAGCCCAGGGGCATGGTGGGGGATGGTCGGCGTCTCGGCAGTTTCCTCTGTCGGGCTGCTGAACAGCTCCTCTCTGCTCGCCATCTGTCTGCGTTTTCGTAGCTGGTTGGCCCTCTGCTCCCACACCGACATGTTAACTTTCCTCCTCCTCTCGCGGCGGTTCGCAAAAGGTTTCGAGCCATGAGGAGGCTGCTCTTCTGCAGCCCCCGTTGGACCATCAGGTTCATCTGGAAAGGTGGGTCTCCCTCTATGAATGGCTCGTTTCCTGTACAGGTAAGGTCTTCTTCTGCCACTAAAAAACCACAATATAACAGACATCAGAGTGGGGCAGCAATACATACACATTTAAAGTTCGGGTGACAAGAAACACAAAGACAAGTGCTCAGTTAGCAATCCAGTTAAATAAATAAAATAAAGGTTGCAAGAAAAGGGCAGACCTTTTCTATGAATTAGTTGATTAGTGACAGAAAATATTCCCATGGAAAAAAATGTGCAAAACCACATCCAAAAAGAATTAAAAAAAGACAAATAATACTACCTAAAGATAAAGGACAGTTAAAAAGTAAAAGAGGAGAACATAGCCCACAAGAACAAAAGGAAAAGTGTGGGATTAAAGTGCAAACGTCGTGTTTACATCTACAAAATAATCTCATAAATCCAGGTAGGGAAAAAAATCAAGACAAATTCGGTGACAGAGACGCATTCAGTTATACTTACTGAGGTTCAGATTCTTTTGGTGTCCATGTAATCAATGAGTGATTATTTGAAAACAAGACATTAGTGATTTACAACATACACAGAACTTTGGTTGTGGCACAGAACAAAATGTGACCTGGGAAGCAGAAGGGACAGAAAACATCATTTAAAAACCAAAATGTCACTGAAACAAGAACTCCATCTTAAGACAGTAAACAGTAAATCTCTTTGAAATCCAGGTTCAGAGCTGAGAGAAGTTGCCTGAACACAACATTTTGTTCAGTGCCACATAACAAGAATATAACAAGACAACGTGATGGAGCCAGAAAAATTCACATCAAATCTGTATATCTTAGCTGCAACACGAGACTTACATTCATATATGCAACAGACAAATGATACATTCAGGGTCCGAACTGGGATGACCTCAATATAATATTTTCCTGTTTTTTTTAAACATTTTACCTAATTTAAAATAAAAATGAATACTTCACATTGCAAACTATAGACATTTACTAAACTCTATCCATTTAAAATAAACTTACAAGGACTTTTTTTGTTTCTGTTTAACTCTAAGTTAGAGAGGAAAACAGTAGACAAATATTAGCATTTAATTTGATAAAATGTGCTTATTAAAATTGTTTCAATACAGCATACCTAAGTCATAAACCAGTTAACTTTTGCCCACTTGAGGGTGTCCTAGTCTTTTTTTCTCTGCTCAKTTTGCCTGACACACGCAGCAGGACAGGAGGAAACACAGTTTAACTCAGATTATTCAACAGTTGTGGAGTTTTGAGAGAGTTGCTAAAAAGTAACGCAAAGCAGGTGCATTAAAGGTGTCAAATCCACAAACTCTTCGGTTTTKCTGCTACTTTTGGTGGGAGCAAAAACGACCCAAAGAAACAGAGACACAGAGGCAAAAACTAAGCTGGAACTAGAAGTAAAACGTATAAAAAAAAAATCAAAATTTCTCAAAAAAAATCTCCACTAGCAGACACTAACAAAACATACAAGAGCTGAACACGAGTAAATCTGGAAAAAACTCCAACAAAACCTGAAGAAATTTTCAGAATGGATCTAAAAACTGTAGAAGCTGACAATTCATCCACCTACAACCATAGAATATAATTTATCTTAATACCCTGAGATCCTTTATTTAACAATCCTTTGGATGTTTCACAATTTATTTAAAATCGTGGCTTAGCTGAAATGACACACCAGCTTTACTTCTTATTTTTTTGTAACAACGGCATATCAAATCCATCAGATTCACACCGAGCAGAGAAAACRAACATATTCTGACACCCCACCCTTCCCAACAACTACTGAACCCTAACCAACACCTCCAGCCCTCCTCTTCTCCAGTTAAAGGAAAGCTGCCAGGCCACTGGAAGGAGCAGGGACTCATCCTCCTCTCATTAAGAAAATCAGCTGTCCAGAATGAATCACAGGTTGAAGCAGTTACAGAAGGAGTTACAGCCACGCACACGAAACAAGCTTTCATGAATCACGCTTTTCAAATCAGCCACTTCTGTTAATATTCCTCATTTGTTTTCCATTCGCAGCTGCAGAACACACAAATAAATGGGTTTCAAACTTTTACCAGATGTGTGTGACAACTTCTCCTCAGAGCAGCGGCAGCTATAGTTTCAAACATTAATCATCTTGGCCTATTTATTCGCACACATTCAAGGAAATGTCTAACAATCTTCATATACTTGATGCTCACATAATTAATATTTCAAGTAGTTAGATTAGTTTCTTCATTTGCTCTGAAAATAAAAGGGGAGTCTGATGAACTGTGACTTTTTTTTCTTATTTTTCTCAAGAGGGCTGGAGCAATTAGTTGTATCTCATTTTCAAAAGGTCATTTTGTCAGATGTCAGCCAGGAACTTACTCTGATATCAGGCCGTCTCTTCCTCTCGCATATCTCTGATTGAAGAACTCTTCTTCCTCCTCTTCATCCTGAGAAAACAAGCCCCATATGCAATGAAGTGTCCATTTGAAACCAGATGTATTGTTAATGCTGTTGTTGTGGGGTCTCCACAGTAAAGGGCTCAAACCTGCAACTTCAGGATTACAAGGCTGTGGCACTGACTACCAAGCTACCACAGCCTACCAAACAAATCTAATGTAAAATGGCATTTTCTGCATAAACTGGTATGATAAATAATAATAATAATAATAAAACAATTTAAAACCTTTGTCAGTTCCTGCGCATTGGCCAGATTATCCACAGCGATGGCCAAGAAGACGTTGAGCAGAGTGTCTGTCATGAATCAGCTTAAGGACAAATCTGAACAAAAACTGAAAATTGAGTACAGTATATACTGTATAGATCTCTCATAAATTTTAAAGTATCATTTTCAAGGTTTCTGAGTTTTTTTGTCTTGAAGATTTTCTGGCACAAATTGGTTAATTCAAAAAGCAAGTATAGCTGCACTCCATTTCTAGGACAAAGTTTTACATTAAATGGGACAYATGCTTTTAAATCCTTCCTTTTCCCATTTAAATCATTCATTTGGTGTCTATGTAAGGTGGAACTGCAATGCTTTGGTCTGAATTCCTCATTATAACTCTACAAGCATAGGTTTAGAGTAACAAAGTACATTTACTTTGTTACAGTACTTAAGTGGTTTTTTTTTTTTGAGGATTTGTAATTTTACCAATTTTTTAAATAGCTACTTTTACTTTCATTTCGTCACATTTACTTCTTTACTTGAAAATGTAACACGTAGTTACTTGTTACAAGACTAAATATGTTCGAACTCATCATGAAAGAAGGTGTTTCTGCACCCTAAAAAAATTAAGTGTTGAATTTACTCAACAAAGTCATGTCAACTGGTTCCACTCAGTCTAGTTGAGTAAATTGAGCAACAAATATACATATATTGCTCAATTTACCCAACCTTGCTTATTGGAACCAGTTTGGTTCAGTAAATTCAACAGTTTATTTCTTCAAAAGTGTGTAAAAGCGCTTTTGTTTTTACTTTCCCATTTTTTGTGAACAGTTTTATGACTTTTGCTTGAGTAGTTTTCTCATCAGTCAAATTTATTTTTACTAAAGTGTTTTTCTGTTCATGTAATTTTACTTTTAGTTTTTTTTTTTCCAAGTACTTTATAGACCTATGTCTACAATCCCCTCTTTCACCGCTGGTGTGTCTCAGAGCAACTCGTTTTGGTGCTGTCTCTTTAAATTCAAATGGATACTTCGCACTACATCCTGTGTTTGGCCCTTTTTATAGTACAGAAATATTTTGTTTTGAAACTGATTTCGATAATGGAAGACTTATCCATCCAGTCTAACATGTCAAAGCCAGAGACTGACCCAGAGCCAGAGGAGAATGAAGATGATGAACCTGTAAAACTGCAGATTTGAGAACTTGGTAAGCCAGAAGTCYGTGACCTTGTTTAGCAGTTCAGAAGCAAATACTGTGATGTCATTGTTCAAAAAAATGTAACACGGAATAGAGAAAGCTGTACTTTTTGAAAAATATGATCCATACAAAATATAAAGATATCAACGCAGTTTTGGGAGAAACTGAATTCTAATTTTCTGCACTCCTACAGACTCCAAGTGCACAACAAAATGCATTTAATGGCTAAAAAAGTGGATCTTGTTTATATCCCCTTTAAAAACATCAATCAGATAAATAGTCTAATAGTCTGGACATGATTGGTAATTCTTTTATCTCATCTGCAACAGCATTAGCAAGAAGAGTGAGTAGGGCCCACTTTGCGATATTTTACTGATCACGGTTATATAATTCTGCATGTGGGGTTTGCTTGTAATGGACTATTCGAAGGCTGAGATTTTACTGCTTTTATTAGAATACTTTCCAAACTAATGGCATGTTGCGGTTATATCAGAGCACTCTGACCACTTCTGAGGTCAACAAGGATACAGTTACCGAACAGAGTGAGCACGATAAAGTAGATGGACGACCACATGCCGTACTGAACGCCACCCTGCGAGCGAATCCCATCGTACATTACCTCATTCCAGTCCTCACCAGTCAAAATCTGCAGGCAATTAAAAGGCACGGAATAATTAGAAATAATTACATTGCTCACATTAAAAATACACCAAACGGAAGATGAGCCCCCTGTCTGCCAACAATGGAGTATTAAAACCGAGTGGCAAGATAATAACTGGTACGCGTGCTGATCAAAACAGTCTTTTTCACAGTTGCAGTTGGGTTGGAGCAGATCTGATGCGGGCTCGTTCACGTTTCCCTTGTCTGATATTCATGTGCGCATATGTGTGCTAGGGTGTGTGGGATGATCGCGGAGGCAGGGGGCGGAGAGCGATTGAGCAGAGTTGTTTAATCTGCGCCTGGGGTGAGAAATATCCCAGGGTGCAATGTKTCATGGCGAGCAGGCAGTATGAGGGGAATCTGTAGGAGCCAAACCTGAAACACTGTCATGATGGCAGCTGGAAACGTGTCAAAGTTGGTGGGAGTATAATCTTCAAAGATGAACCTAAAGGGGAAGACGATAAGAGACCAGGGTCAGATATGACCAAGGAAGAATAGGAGGAAGTAGGAGAGGAGGAGGAGGATGCAGAGAGCTATTTTCATCTGGACATATCGCATCATCTCGTCTTCAAAGAGGCCCCGGAGCAAAATGTTGTTCCGTTTTGCAGCGAGCACTCCAAATCTCCAGCTGTAATGAAATCATAGGATACAATTTATGGCTATTAGCTGACAGATACGTATGTCAGTACACACCTCCCTCCAAACAGCTGCATCCCGAGCAGAGCAAACACCACCGTGAAGAGGAAGAGGAGGAAAAGTAGGCTGATGATGGACTTCATGGAGCTCATTAGGGAAACAACCAAGTTCCTGAGAGAGGCCCAGTACCTGACAAAAAAAAAACAAAACAAAACAAAAATAAAACAATATAACAACACTTTCAATCTATCTACATCAGTTGGACATTTTACATGGTTTTGTCCAGCTGCAACACTCACTTGGTGATTTTGAAAATCCTCAGAAGTCTCAGCGCCCGCAGCACGCTGATACCGAACGACATCCCAGGCCTGAAGAAACCCCAAACAACTTCAAAGATGCTGCCAACAATAACCTTAAAAACAAAAACAATACAAACAGGAGAACATCACACAACTCATCTTGACATGAGTATGTTTATCCTAGCCTTTTAGGTTTAATTATTTTTTTATATTACTTTTGTTGTCAGAATAAGAGGTGATGGATCTCACCCCACAGTCAAAGCAGTTGAAAGATGAGTGGAAGTAGAGTCGGAAACCCAGACCGTACATTTTCAAAAACATCTCAGCCAGAAACAGCCCCAGGAAAACAAACTCTGCATAGTCTGTGGAGCAGAAAGAAAATCAAAGGCGGTCGCGTCGAAAAGCAGAACGATGAGATGAGATCACAGATAAACACATTTATTAAACATGATCAAAAAAAAAACATTGTCGGCAATAACGCACAGAGGAAGACCGTGAGCCAGTCGGGCTGGTCGTGGTGCACGATGGCCACGCAGATGGTGTTGAGAGCCACCAGACTGAGCACCATCAAGTAGAAGGTGTCGGTCTTTACCATGCGGCGGATGGAGATGCGTAACATGCGCTCTTTACGTCGCAGGTAGGCAGCGGGKCCACGGCGGCCGCTACGGAAGTTCATCCTCGATCTAGACATGCCTGGGAGAGGAAGAGCCAGAGTCAGCTGGTAAACTGCAACAATTTAAAGGCTGAAAATTACAGACTTGGTTGTTTTGTAAGTGAAATATAAAGCATGTTAGTGACTAAATTGCTCAGCATCAGGTGAGATTCCGCAATGGAAATGTCACCAGTGGGAGCTCTTTGTTAGAATATAATGAGGCCAGCACCATAAAAGAAACAAAACTGGAAAATTATCCCAGCTGAGCTCAAATGATTATTACAAACAAACTGTGACGTGATTTTCTTTATCACTCAGTACATTTAAACTAATATGACCAAATAATAATAAACCACAGTTAAGAGTGTTTAAACAGTAAACCTACCACATCGCATGTGCGTGTTGTCTGAGTCCAGAAAAAGGCACGATTGCAATCAGGATATTTAACACACTGTAACAAACTGTGCTATAWTAAACAGCTGCATGTTTGGTAAGAAATGACACTATGAGTCTTCTAAGACAACAGTTTATATTTGTTTAGTCGGCCTGAGTGCCTCCACAATGTGTGGGAATTATCTTTCCATAATTAATAATCATTTTAGTGAACAACTCTGCAATTTCTGATAAAAYTAGATGGAAAATACATTTAAAAATGCAGCCAGATTGAAAATAAAATAAAGATTTTTCGGGTAAAAAAAAACGATAGCCATGTGATGTGAGTATCAGTCACATGGAGGCRGGGCTTAAAAGCCTGAATTTTGCCTGAAACTCTCAGACTGAAGAAGTCTCTTGGAGGAGAGACGAAACGTTTCATTAGAGAAGAACCCGTCCAGAAGACCTATACAATTTTTTTCTTTTTGATTTTTTACCTGGATTACAGAGATGCATCAGGAAATTTTTGGGGTAGCATTTTTTTTACTTGATAGGTCTTACAGATTTATACCTCAGACGACAGAACAATTGTCTTATCCGCAAATAGGTGAACTATGTTCAAAAMATTATCTTTACTTACCATTATGAAGAGGTATAAACAGTATAAGAATAAGTAAGTAAAAGTAAAAATTCCTTAACTGAAAATTACTTAATGAATTTCACAGATAAGAAATACTTAAACAAAAGTCATAAAACTGCTTGCAATAATCAGAAAAGTAAAAGTACTTTTATACACAGTCAAAAAAAGGAAGGGTTGAATTTACTGTAAATTTACAGTAAGAGGTCTTCTATAAAGACAAARTGTAATTAATTAGATTAAAACTTTTTTTTTCACTTACTTGCAGTGGACATGTCTGTAAATTTGTCGCTCCCTGGTGCTCCTCTCCGTGCACCCGTCTTCTTGCTCGCTCTCTTCAGCACTAAAAGACATTTTTCCAGAACTCAAATTGGTTTGTTTGTTGCTCATTACTATATATCACAACAGACAAGAAAAAAACATGCTTTAATTATYTCTTTGTTATAACAACTCTTCTTGGCAATAAATTTAATACTGTTGAAATGATCATTAATTTCCCTTTTAAATGGGGCCACATATGTAAGGATCATGCAATTGTGGGATAAGCAGTAGAGCTGAGGGTGTGGGTTGCACACATTAAAAAATAGCTAAATTTTCTCTGTAAAACATCATTTKTTGCTGTTGTTATTGACACTTGTTTTGAGATTCTGATCTCCCCATTTGCTGCCAAACAGATGCCTGGTATAAGATTTACTGCCAAGAAGAATTGTTACAACAAAGAAATATTCTGCCAAACACACTTACTTTTTGTGCTAAATATAGAAACTTTATATCAAATTTTCCTTTTTTTAAAGTTTTAACTAAGTTTTCTACAATTGGGAGCTAAAACATATTTTATTTAAATTTAAATGAAGGATTATATTTAGGCCTGGCCAGTTACCAAGACCATTGCTTTGTTTTTTGTTTAGTCTTGGTCAATGAGTCTCAGTTGGTAATCTAATATTGATTAACCATCATTTTATGGTCATCTTCAGTTTAGCAGTTTGTGAACATGCGCACAGTAAAATAGACAACAAAGAGACCATACGAAGCAATAAGCAGATGTTTTCTTGAACATGTGAGCTTACCATCTAATGGTGATCTCCCTGAACTTTTATTCTCCTCTGCCAGCATCACTTCCTCTGTTTGTAAAACAGTAAAATGGCAGGTTACACGCAAAGCACGAGTCAAACCATCAGATGTGGAAATGTACAGTCTTCAGGGTTGAACAGTTTAGGATGTCTGCAAACATTTACAGGATCTGATGTAAGCTCTGTTTTGAGAGGTCAACATGACCTTGTGTGAAGCCTGATTTCTCATTCTCTCATATATTCTCGCAATATCAGTCTCTCTTTCCTCCTCCTTCATCCCACACGCTCCCACACTCATGCACACATGAAAATGCACATCGTCTCTCTTTCTCTCTCTTCTCCACGCGCGCACACATGCATGTTAACAGCGGAGAGCGCGCGTGCATACGTTCATGCGCGCACATTTAAATCCGTGAGTCAGTATCACCTTTTTCTCACCCTCTGCTTGCGTGGGAGACTGGTGATGTAGATTTCCATTGCAGCTCTGCATGTTTTTGTGCCTCTCTGCTACTCTACCAAAGATCCCAAACTCCTAACGGTGTCTGCAGCAGAGCCGCCGCTAACCGAAGCGGAACAAAGAAGTAGCTTTGTTTTTAATTCCGTATCAAGAACTTGCTGGTAAAACCAAATTAAAAGATTTTTGGTAATAAGCTTAAAATGATTGGTAATGAAAGCAGCCAGCAGCTCTGTCCAAAAATTTCCGAACATTGCCCAAAACCGCCTACGAAAGATTACTAATGAACTTGAATGTTGTTTGTTAAATCTGTACAAAATAAATGTAAAAACACAACTTGTGGCTACATGGTGGCTAAATGCTTTCATGACTTAACTAACAACATGACAAGGACTGCTCACCAACTCAGACCTCAATTAGTAGTTATTGGACTGTTTAGTAAAATATATAAAGTTACATATAATGAACCAAAGCTGTAAGGTAAAGACAGGACCGGCCTGTGGCATAGACAGTAAAGGCAAATGCTAAAGGGGCCGTCCATCTGGGGGAAACAAATGGGTGACAAAAATATTTATGAAGGTAACTTGTTCTGCAGGTGTCTCAGCCTGCTCTGTAACTACATGTACATATGGTGCATGATTAACGTATCATATGACACAGTACTGGTGCTCAGTGTGTAAATAGAAAACAAAATAAGAATAATGGAAGCTTCAGTTATGATCTCAGATAAAGCTCAGGTTGGTCTGGTTTTCAGTGTCCTACTTTCATAAAATACTGATTTTATGCAGTTTTATGTTTTTCACTGAGCTGAAAAATGCATAATTTTGAATAAATATTTTAAAACATTTTCCGGGGGAGGATACCCCTGCCCCCCCCAGAACTGCTTCACTCCACAGCTGCTTGTAAACATGAAGGTGTTCCTCACTGATGTCAGCAAATATTGGTAGGTATGAGGCAAACTTCTGGTATCCTGTTTCAAATTAATTATATTGTTAGCTGTTTTAATTGGAGGACCGGGTTTCTAAAGACCAAAAAAAAAAAGTTAAAGATCAAACAATTTTTTTTTGGTTGGCAGTGGGTTTTAGAAAACTGCACAAGGGGCATCGCTTAAAATTTTGCCTTGTGTGACAAATTGGCTAAGGTCAACCCTGGGTAAAACCCCAGATCATTCACTGCAATAAACCACATAAAGTTGTTCAGCTGCTCAGTACCTGCCCTGTCTATCCAGGCTCTGTATCCATTCAGTTCTCTCTCCACCTGCTGCTGTCGACGTAACTTCATGAAGGCTCTCCTGTTCTCCACCCTCTCCCTTTCTTTGGCAAATTCTCTGAAAAGAGAACCATGAAAGCAATGGTTCTACCCTATAATTCAGTCACCAAGACAGAAAAAGGTCACATAAAGTGACAAACTTACCCAGACAGGACTCCCAAAACCAGGTTCAAGACAAAGAATGAGCCAATAATGATGAGAGGGATGAAGTACATCCAGTTCCACGTAACACCCAGTGCGTCGTTGGTCTGCATTTCATTACATATACATCAATAAATATGTATCAGAGTTCAGAGTGATTCATTTTGATTCATTATCCGATCATGTCAGCTCACATTATAGAGCACAGCTGTCCATCCCTCCATGGTGATGCACTGGAAGACGGTGAGAACAGCGAACAGGATGTTGTCGAACTGCGTGATGCCGTCATTGGGCCCGATCCAGGTGTCGTTGCAGTCGTACTTTTCCGGACACTTCCTCACTCCGCACGCAAATGCCAGCTCCGATGAGTCAACAGTCTCATTATCTGCGGAAATGAGATGCAACGGTCACGTGTGTTCATAATTCCTACATATGTGAGCCAACTGCAGATGGTTGTACCTTCTGTGAGTGTCACCAGAAATACAACTACAAAACTATACAAAGGTCAAGTAAATCRCAAGAAGGAGGCAAAGTGCAAAAATTCTGCTATGCCAGTGCTTATGGGTCTAAAGGTTTGCATTTTCCTAAAAAGGTTTGAGAACATCAGTAACAATGTGGAATCTGTCCACAGAATGTGAGGCTAACACCAGCAGATGGTAACATCAGACAGAAAACTAGCGAGTGGAGGTTGTAAAGAATCCATCTCATTGTATACCTGCTCACTTGTTTAAAACCACAAATTTCCTTTTTTTCACACTTTAGTTGTGTAAAAATGAATAAAGTGTTTGTTTTAAATGTTTTAAATGCACTGGCGGGTGGATTTTGCTAGCTGCGGACAGACACAATGTTTATGTTAAACTGAGTGTTGTGTTGTTTACTGTACTGCTATGAGAAACAAAGTTGACAGTTTTAAGCTCTGGGAACAATTTTTAACAACTAAATACACAATGAACAGTTGCAAACATTAAGTATTCTGTCGTCCTCCCCCACTGAAAGTGTTTTTTTTTTTGTTACCTCACATTCACAGTCCAGAGTTTAACACATGAAGTGGTTGTAGCAGAAATATATATTTTTTAGATTTAAGGCAAGAAAAACTTTTTTCTTGTATATTTAACAGAACTAGTATTGAGTCAAGTTGAACTGTGCAGATGTTTTACATCAAAAGTGAGTGAGTGCAGGGTGCCTACTGAAAACATACACCAAGACTTGCAGCTGTAATTGCAAATGAAGACAAAAGACTGTCATTTTTTTCACTTTTCTCTTTTTAAAAAAAATACCAACACTAMTTTTTGTTGCTCTTTTACATAAAATCCCAGGTGACTGTATTGTACGCTGTCTGTCCGGTGACTTTGGATAAAAAATATATCTTGTGAGCATGTGATAATAGTGTGTGGCCACAAGATTTTTTTTTCCTACGTCAGTGGGTTCCGTAGCATTGCTACAAAATCTGGAAAAATTTAAAGAGAAAAAAAATACTTTTTTCAGTGCATTTTATTTTCATCAAACAAAGCTTTTCTGCACTTCTGAGTTTAGGAAATGTTCATAAAAGTACGATTTAATACAATAGCGAGCTGATTTTCAACCGCCACATATGAAGGAGAGTAGTTATATTCAGTGATTGATTTTTTATTGAACTAGCTCCATTAAAAAACAAATACATTTACTTTTTTACCCTAATACCTCTGAACAGCTTCAAACTCAAGAAAACAACACAAAATAAAAGGTCTGATAGATGTAATTTTTCCCTGCTCTGATTATTTTTAAAAGGTTTGTGTCGTATTTCATCTTAGGGTAGGCCAATGACAGTAAATACTATGGTGTGGCGCCTGATTACAGAGCAGTTGTTGACTAATTAAGCAGCAGCTAAATCAGCCAGCATCGACTCTAATAATACCTCTGAGCTCGCTGCTGCCGCTGGAGTCCACAGAGCCCTCAAACAAAGATATTCACACCCTCTCTTTGAGAAAATTGAGTAAACCACATGTTTAGCACAGCTGCTGGAGAATTGTTCACAGTCAGTCATAAATAATCCAAAAAACACTGGGAGTTTGAAGGAGGCGCACTTCACGCTCATTCCTTTAATTGGCTAAAAAAAATACTTTATTTAAATTGTTCTAATAGACATGTCTGTTTTCCTGTTTCCAGGTTTGAAGGAAAAAAAAACAAAGAGCTCTTACCGAGGATGTCGTCCGATGGCTGGCAGGTGTGGTGAAGCTTCCCGCTGTAGAACTCCAGACCGATGATGGCGAACATGAGGATGGCGAAGAACAAGAGGAGGCCAATCTGGAGCAGCGGGATCATAGCCTTCATGATGGACTTCAGCACAATCTGCAGGCCTGAAGGGAGAAGTAAAGATAAAAGGATGAAAAAAAAATAGGAACCCACTGTAATAATCAACCTACGGTTTCATTCTAACACATTTTTATCCCTGACATTTTTATTGGCTCTGATATAAAAAGCACAACCTTACATAAATTCCACTTTATTTGATATGATTTTGATAGATTTAAAAAGGTCRTAGTCAGAAACTTTCAACTTTGCAGTAACGAGAATAGCGCCAAGAAAAGCAAAATGCAGTCGTAGAATTGCAGACTGAATAATAAGCTGTAATTACATCTGAAAGGACTTGTAATCGCACAGCACAGATGAAGTGAAAAGTGCTCAGGGAAGCCTATAGAAGCTCTCATAGTGCAGAAGTTTTCTTTAACTTTTCAAGGAAGTGAACTATTTAGTGTGTCTTTACCACAGGAACTGCTGACTAAAGAACTGAAATTCTGAAAATAATTCTCATCTACTTAAAATAAATCACAGATTAAGGAGCCAAAATCCAGTTTTCTTGAAGAAATGTTAYGGACTCAATCACCAACAGCTGTAAAGGGCATTATTTACTGACATGTTTCAGTTTAAATCGACTCAAAACAAATCTCTAAAACTTCTCCCATGCATGTCTGTTTTTATACCGACACACGTTCAGAAACAACAGCTGGTAGTTAGAGGGCCCTAAATGACTCACTGGGGATCCCAGAGACGAGCTTGAGAGGTCTCAGAACTCGCACTGCCCTCAGGGTCCGGAGGTCGACTGGGATGTTCATGTGGGAACCAGCAGTGGCCAGGATCCTGTTTGAAACACACAAATTATTTATGTGCATTAATGAGATATTATGCCAAAATTGAACACCTGCTAACAGGAAAGGTGGGTCATAGTGGAACAGCCTATGTCTATTGGTGTGCGTGTTTATTGGCAAATCTTATGAACCAGTGAATGTATTTTAACTGAATTCTCTGGAATAAAATCTGAATGTATGTATACAGATTGGGAATCATTTTGATTCAAAAACAGCCACCACATCTAATGAGCCATAGCAAACACAGAATTGGCTATACCTCAGTCAGTATTGATCCGAAATTTTGTGCGGTTGTAGTTGAAAGTAGGAGTGTCCCAATCCCAGTTTTGAATATGAGTAATTCAATTTGAGTACTCGTAGATACCGAGTACCATACTAGCATAAACATAAAATGACTTTTAAAATATACAGCTTTCCTTTCCTTATAGGCTTACAGCCCATCTGACTGTATCAAATCAAATATACAGCATGTTATACGGTAGCAAATTTTAAAAATAAAACCATTTTCCTTTCAATGTGTGTAACTTTCTGAAACATGTAAATGAAACTTTTCACTTAAACTGTAAATTGTACCACATTCAATGGAATGTTGATACCAGAAAGGTGGTTTTGATACTGACGTTGGTATTGGTTTTGAGAGTTGGGGCATTTTGGATGAGTACTTGTAAAAGTACTGGTATTGAGCCTGATACTARTAGTACCAGTATTAGGACACCACAAGATGTAAGTCATCACCAACACGTACTCTGAGTGCTAATAGATGATGTGAGATCTTTATTCTTTCTTTTGGCGTACACGCATTCCTTCAATAAATTTTTATTGATATTAAATTTGTTTAATGCATTAACCGTGGTCACTTTTCAGTTCAACTTAAAATAAATCAATTTGGGTAAAAAAAATATACAAGAGCAACAAATCCACAAGAAAATAAATTTTGGTACAAACTTTCTTGAGATTTACAGTTTTGTGTTGTGTCTGAAAAATCACAAAGAAAAGCCGGGAACAAATGGTACTGCCCAACAGATTTTGGAAACGAATCATTCATGTGGGGGAAAAAAAGACAAATAATGAACTGATTTCAGGACACGCAGACATCTGTGCAGACCGTGACTGGTACAGTATATTCATTTAATGTACCAGACTCACATGCTGAGAGACAAAGCATGCGCAGCCGCACACACCTGGCAGGCATTTCTACTCACATCTACCCACACACACATTGATGTTCCTCCACCTACACGCCTAAACACTGAAAAACAACCAACGAGCTGCATCCTACAACAGAAACCACATCTGGCATTTTTCTTTTACAAGATGGGAATTTGTTGCTATTTTCAATTACAAAACAGATCCTGATGGGTCCATAACTGCATAAATTCTACTAAAATTAAGCCGTAAAATGATAATTTTTATCTAGAGCACATTTTAAAGTTTAAACACTAATCTTCAACTTAAAAATGGTAATTTATCCAAAACAGAACAGATTTGTTTACATTTTATTTAACTGTACACGTGCAGATGCAAACATATACATTTATTAAATCTCAATTTTGAGCAGTGTGTGTGTGTGTG